AGCGCTTTTAAAACTGCACTCCAGCAAGCAAAAGCCCTCCCACGAAAATAAGAATACTCCAATGTAATCTTGGGCGATCCAGGACAGCTGACGCGCTTCTCAGTCAGCTTGCACTCGAACACGGTGTTGACGCGCTCTTGGTCAGCGAACAGTATCAGTACCGGAATAGGGTCCCACCCTTTTGGTTCCCCGATAGTCTTAGTACTGCTGCTTTCTGGGTGCGTAATACAGCTCAAGTGCAAATGCGGGGTCATGGACAGGGCTGTGGATTTGTTTGGGTTCGATGCAAGGACGTCACCTACTACAGTGTCTACCTCACCCCTAACGAGGCTATCCATGACTTCCGCGAAAAGATAGTCCGCTTGGAAGAGAGCGTGCACGACACCGCAGGGCATGTAGTCGTGGCTGGCGATTTCAATGCTAGGGCCGTCGAGTGGGGACTGACCCTCACTAATTCCCGGCGGAAGTACATCCTGGACTTTGCTGCCAGGGCCGAACTCGTTTTACGAGGGCAACACGCCAACGTTCTGGCGACCCGGGATGAGGGGAACGATCCCAGACATAACCCTCGCATCTGAGTCTCTTCTGCCAAGGATCACAGCCTGGAGAGTCTTGAAGGATTATACAACCAGCGACCATCAATACATTATTTTTGATGTCTTAGCTCGCCTCCCGAGACAAGTTGCTGCATCTTGGGAAGTGCCCGTTCGGTGGAACACCAAAAAACTGGACGTGGCTAAATTCACCGAGGCCATCCTGCGGGGAGTGCCAGCGGTGCCTGCCGCACCTGGCATGGCTTATGCAGAGGCTATAGTTACATCGATGATGGGGCTGATTGCCTCGGCTCGTGATGAGTCAATGCCCCGCAAGAGACTCCGTTGCGATAGGAGACCCGTATACTGGTGGACTGCAGAGATCGCGGATTTGCGCCGAGCTGCTTTGAGAGCTAGACGACTCGCTACTAGGGCCAGGGCACCCTTGGATAGACGCCGTAAGCTGGAGAGCTATAAGGTGGCGAGGAAGTCTCTCCGCCGGGCCATCTACCGGAGCAAACACAATTGCTGGAAAACACTAAGGGATGATGTCGATTCCGACCCGTGGGGCCTGGGTTACAAACTAGTAACCCAAAAACTCACCACTCGCTCTCCACCTTCCGTCATGGAGGGGGCCGCTATGGAGAGGGTTGTCAAATCCCTTTTTCCAGATCATATTCTGCGCCCACTGCGTGAGTTTGAGATGATGGACTATGTCCCACTCTTCACTCATAAGGAGCTGGAGACTGCCGTTTTATCCCCAAAAACAACAAGGCTCCTGGACCTGATGGGGTACCTGGCGAGGCTTTTAAGAAGGTTTTTTCAATCAATCCCCTGATTCTTCTGAGCATGTACAACGCCTGCCTGGCAGAGGGGGTATTTCCGTTGTGCTGGAAAAAAGCTAGGCTCGTGCGGAAGGGGAAAGGAGACCCAGAATTGCCTTCCTCTTACAGACCCCATTGCATGTTGGATACGGCTGGGAAAGTTCTAGAGAAGTTGATCCGTTCCCGACTGAATTCAGCCGTGGTTGCTGTGGGGGACCTGAGCCCTCGCCAATACGGCTTCAGGAAGGGGCGATCAACGGTCGACGCTATTGAGGAGGTGAAGCAAGCCGTGATGAGAGCTGAGGATTTGAATCACTACTCTCGTAGGGTTGTGCTGCTCGTTACACTCGATGTGCGAAACGCATTTAATTCTGCAAGATGGTGCGATATGCTAGACGCTCTGGAGAACAACTTCCACGTCCCGGCATACTTCATGCGCATTATAGAGGATTACCTCCGGTTCCGCCTCCTCATGTATGATACTACAGAAGGCCCGCGGACGATGAGTGTCACTTCTGGTTCTGCCCAAGGTTCCATACTCGGCCCGGACCTCTGGAACGTTGCCTACGACAGCCTCCTTAGGTCTGAAATGCCTGAAGAAACCGTTTTAGTTGGGTACGCAGATGACATTGCAGCTTTAATAGCTGCTCGTAGTGTTGAGCTGGCCCAGCTAAAATTAAACCGAGTCATGCGAACTATAAACGCATGGATGGCAGATCACGGTCTCTCACTCGCGCTGAACAAAACTGAGATCGTGATTCTGACCAAAAAGCGGATTGACACCATTGTGCCGTTGAGGGTGAGGGACGTCGAAGTCCAGTCCGTTCGTGCCGCCAAGTATCTTGGTGTCATGGTGGACTCTGTGATCTGAACTTACTATTTTTATATGTCATCAAGTCATCTGAAAGACTTTCTCCTCCAGCATTGAAAGTTTCTCCAAAATTGCCTCAAAACCTCCTCCTTGATTGAGATTGTTGTGACTATGTGGGATCTGAGGAAAGGTATTCGTTGGCTTACCTCGGTTTGACAAAATAGCGTCGCAGCCTATTGCATTTGAACTCAAAGGTTGAACCTCCTGAATCTTATCCGCTGTAACGGCCAATGATTCGGTGCTGACCCCAGCACCTAACTGGGTTTGCAGGATGCCTTGAATATGCGCAGGAAGTCGTTGCATCCAGATGATCCTCAGCAAGTCATCTTGAACGCTGCTGCCAGCTAACGATTTCAGTCTTCTGAGAAAGTGTGATGGCGTATCTGTACCGAGTTCTTCTTCTACAAGTAACTGTTTAATTCTCTTATATTCTGAGACTGATAATCTTCTTATTAATTCTTTCTTCAGGCTCGTGTAAGGGTTTTCCAGATTTGGGTTTGAAAGTAAATCCTCTATTTCGGAAGCAGTCATCTCATCTAAGTGTGTCACAACATGTGTGAAACAAAGGCTCTCATCAAAAATGTGCCATAAAGAGAAAATCGCCTCAATCTGTATGAACCAAAGTGCTGGTTTCTCACACCAAAAATGGGGACATTTTAATTGTGGAGATTGCATTGAAGTTGTGTTGTTAGATGGTCTTGGATTTACTGAATTGTTTCTTTCTTGAGTTTTCTGATTTATTGGATTAACCAAAAGATCATCTTCTGAATCAATATTTGGTTTTGATTTTAATGTTCAGAGTCAACACCAAAGACATCATTAAGTTGTTTTCTGAGATCTTGGTTTTGTTCTTCCATCAGTTTTAGTATTGCCAATACTTCTTCATTGATTTGCATTATGTGTTCTTGATGTGTTCAAATCGGGGTCACCAATTTTAGTGGAAAGAACCTCATTTAAATAGGAGAAATACCTTAGATAAAAGTCTAGAGGTTTCCACTAAATATTATTGTTTAATTTATCATACTTTTAAAAGTAATCAACAATTATTTGTTTAGAGCAAATAAAAATGAACCACTTTTGTTGGAACAGCCTAAAAGAATGTCTCTTTGTTTATTTTTCTCTTCGTCACAACCAAAATTCAATAAAATTATTTAAAACATCTGTCAGCTGATATATCTGCCAGCTCACTACATATTTTATTTAAGTGTAATAAGACGTATCTTTATTTACTTTCCGGAGAATGATGATGTCTAAACGGCCGCGGGAGATAATCAGAATTTTGCCGCGATCGCAGAAGACCTCCCGTCAAAAGACGCCAGATTACCTGATTACCACGGTGGTGCAGTGCCGGATTAGAGAGGGTCTACTGTAGGCATTTTATGAATTGTCCACTAACATGGTTCAATGCAATTACATTCAATTATTAAGTTCATATAAATTCATATTCATCCCTACTGCAATCTTATCAAGTTATTATCTATTAATATTCTATCCATACTATTATAAAGAGGAGTATGTAGCCATCTTTTGCCGGCTACACCACACACGCTACGGTATCAGTATTATAATTGGCCAATTTTGTTTAATGTTTTTGTGTACGTGTTTCGTGTTTTTAACAACTCTTCCCAGTTATGAAGAGGATTTGGTTGGAAGTTTGGAGTATGTTTTAACTGGTGACAGCTTGAAAATGAACCTTTAGGTTCATAACCTATAATCGTAAGGTCGAATAAACAAGTATAAATGTGATAATTTATACTACAGAACTATATAACTTCAATAGGATTTAGCCTAAGTTAAAAAGAAGCCATTTCATTTCCGTGTACACCACTGACATTTTATTAATAAAATAAATGAAATCATAACAAATATACACTTTTCATTTAGTTAAATTATACCTCTGTATCTCGGTCCTAAATAATTATTTAATTGAAACAATCTTACTTTATGATGACCTTCCGTAGAGCTCTATTTTAATACAGGAACTCGTCTGTAAAAAAAATATACAAATGCATAAATATTACTAATATATCTATTCTAAATATAAATTTCAATTACCATTTTCTTTCGTACAATGTGCTTTTTGCAAGTTAACATACTTATAACCTAATTTAACATGTTTTAGAATTTGAGGTTAACCAACAGTGAATATTATTTTCCCATATCCATGTTCAATAGTATTTTTAATACAAATTTTAATTTCAGATTTAACTTTCCTAGATTATAATGGATAATAATATTTTGTACTTACAATGTCTACGAGATTTGCCTGCCATGAGATACAGAATTATGAATGAAATCAAACTTGTGAAGGAAATGAAAATAGAAACAATGTTACCACTACAAACAATTAAAATAAATCAACTTTGCTTCTTACATACTATAACTAAATTTGCTGGATTTTTTTTTAACAAACAATATAAGAATCAGTATAAACCTGGGTCGCTGACCTAAACCAGGATCACAGACAGTACTACAGGTATTTAACCTTTTATTAGCTAATGTTTGTGTTGTTGATGATTTATTGTGAACGGAAATTGAAGGATTTGTGATTTGATTTAAAGAAGATTGATGCACCTAATAGCATTTGATTATTGCAATTAAATATGTAATAGTTTTGAAACTTCAAGAATGTAATTAAAAGTTTCAAAAATATAGGTAAAAGATAAGGGAGTTGAAGGTAAATTAAATATATGAAAATGTTCTTTATTTTAACTCATATAATAACTCACATACTGTTTCACAAAGTATCCTGAAGCTCAGTTATTTTGTCAGGTACCAGCAACGTGGTGGCTACTCTAGTCTAGATGATCCTGGCCTCACTCTGCGGCTCTCTCAGCCACACATTCTGGACCATCTGGCTCAAATGCCATTTTGTGACCTGCCTGTCCGTAAGTTCCTCCTCTCATTACTCTCCAATACTTAAAGCAATACAGTTCCTTAACACGTTGACTGCCGCCTACTGCTGTATCAGTAGTGTGCTCGCCTGCCAAATAATGCGTCTGTCTGAGCCCAGCACTCGTCCGGAAACAGGCTGTAGTTTAGAATACAAGCTTTATTTTGGTGTAGGTTGGTACTAAACATTCCAGTAAAAATCCCGTCTGGCAAAGCTTTTGTCTCGTTTTCGAGGATTTTCTCTATTCGAGCCATATTACAAAGACTCTGGTTATTGGTGCAGGCAGTTCTGCTACCTTTGGGTGTTTCAGTGAACTACATCCACTTTCGGGGAAACGCAGAACAATCACATTTGCTCTTTTGTGATTCGTCTTACTGAGATATTGCAATGCCAATCAATAGCGACCGCTGATTCAGTATCGCGCCGGGGCTCCGCCCGGGCCTCGCCACAGTTTAGGAGCGCCTGTGTATAGGTTTTCAGCAGTCAACGTGTTAACCTGCAGACTAAGTGAATTTCCATTTACCTGGCTGAAAATATTCCCTTAAAATTGTCAGATTTATTTCCTACTAGCTGGCCCGACAGGTCGTCCTGTCCTAATGTGGTTTTATGTCAGACAATGCTCGTTCATTTTTAAGATGAGCTCGTTCGCGTGGCTCAATCACGTCCTGGTTGAAGTTTGTTTGCTACGCTTACTCACCTTAAGGTTGGAGCTCGTTCGCTAAGCTAACTTGCTTCCAGGTTGAAGTTCGTTTGCTACACTCACTCACCGCGACTTATCCATCACCGGCGCCGCATCAGGTTAAGCAGTCGTTAATTAATTAATGTTTAAATGTTTCGTGTGTGTTTACGTGTGTGTAAATGTCAACATGTTTTTTGTAAAACCATGACGAACTCAACACCGAGGGATATTTTATAGAGAAGCTGGCGTTCAACAAACCTGAGGATGTGCCAATAATAGGCATGAAACAGCTGTAGTTTTATAAAACTACTGAGAATCGGAGACAGAAGCCAGGTAATATAAACCTTATTATACTCTGTCTGAGTTTAATGTGCGGTTGAAGGACAAATTTGTTTTCCCCTGTTTTCTCCCTGGCCCCTGCCACCACCACATATTAGCCTACAGCTGATTCATACTGTTCATAATTTTACAACATGTGTCACTTTGTTTACATTTTAGTAGTAAACAACATTGTGATTATTATGATGATATTTTGTGCAGTTTAATATTATTCAGTCTGGGTTTAATTGATTAGTGTTAGTTAGAAATAGCCAAAACAGTGCAAAACTTAACTGGAGAAGGAAACAAATGCATTGCAGCACATAATATGGACTCCGAAGATTGTAATATAGAAAATATATAAAAAGATTATTGTAATGGATAATGAACCATTCGAAACGACTTAACAAAATTACAAGTTCAAAATCAAGAAAGGCAGGACATTATGAAGTGGCTATCAGATAACGGTATTGAACACAATCCAGTCCACACAGTAGCAGAACTCCTTACCACCGTGCGGCAGCACAGGCAAGATTTTCCCCCACAGTACGAACTGGATGAACTTGCGTTGCAGATGGGTTTGAGGTTGTTCGCCTACCCCCTACCATTGTCAATACAATCCCATAGAGCTAATTTGGGCTCAAGTGAAAGGGGAGGTAGCGCAAAATAACACGTCTTTTAAAATAAAGGATGTCAGGAACCTTCTTGAAAATGTCATGAACCATGTAACAGTAGAAGACTGGAAGCAATGCGTAATTCATGCTGAAAATATCCAGGAAGAAGATTTTTTTTAAGAAGGACTGCGTGACGAAATTATGGAACCATTCATTATAAATCTGCAGGATGACACTGACTCTGATGGCTAAGCGAAGATGATGGTGAACATCTACTTTCCAGTTATGAGAGTGAATGATGTAATGGAACGTTTCCAGTACTTTGTTAACGTTCACATTACATCTAACTTTTGTTAAATTTACATCATTGTGTTCATTTTGTGGTTTAATATATGTTTTATAAATAAAATTATATTTATGTATTTTTACGAGTTTTGTTTTCTATTTGGTGTGTACTCAGGCATATTGGGCTTTTACTATTAGGTATTTGAAAATTTATGCAATTAGTAAACAATGAAAAAATGCAAAAACTTAAATATAGCTGTTTCATACAAATGGTTTAATTTTTGTGTATCTTTAAACATAACTCGTTCATTCAAATAGTATGATCAATTTGTTATGTTAGTTTATCCTCAGTAAAAAAAATTATAGCAAATAATGTATGGTATAATAAAACAAGTTTAATGAAATGACTCCGTTGTTCATCATGAGTAGGCCTACTCTGATGTTGTACACTGATTATTCAGACATAAAGAGGATAACCCAATGGTTTTCATCCTGATCTGACCTTAGGGCTCCGCTAGAGACCTTGACAAAGTTCCCATTGTCGACGGTATTAAAATAATAACTAAATAAGAAGTGAAGAATCGCTTTAGAATTGTGAAACCAGTTCACCACGATATTAACTAATTTAATAATGTATAGTTACATTACCTGAACTGAAATTGTATTTAAAACAATCCATCAAAAGCATAAAGCATAAATGTTAGCCCAAGATTATCTATATTACAACAAAACTTCTAGTGAAATTAAAATTAATACGTAGATTATTTATGTTAAAATAAATCTTCTTGTTTTATTATGTGTGTAGTTCAATCATAATAAACAAATGCTTCCTAAAAACCTGTCTGCAATATAAAACAGATGATTGTTACGGGTATTTTAGTGTAGAAAAGGGTAAATGAGAGGGAGATTTACCATAATAGGGAAATCATATGTTGAATTCCAGCCGCACAATTATATTAGACAGACTATAGTAGAGGTGTGCGGATATCTGAAAAATCGGGTCCGGTTCGGTTCGGATATCAGTATCCGAACCGAGCCCAAATTTGATATCCGACCCTATCCGTTAAATATCTGAATTTTTCGGATAGACTATGTTTTTTGATGCTTTAAACTCATATGACGACTATAAGGCCACTGAGACATGGCCTTTCCATATAAATTGTTTGCATCAAGATAGAAGGTAAGGTATACACTGAGAGAAATACTTACTTACTGATGGGGCGTCACAAATCTCAGTAGATTTTTTGCCTCGTAGATTAGCCTCCTCCGCATTGGATCACATCCTTTTTGACTTGGTCATAAAATCTTAATTTAGGCCTACCCAACAGACGTCTTCCTGTAGGTATGGCCTCCTTCAGTCTTGTGCCATCCTGTCTCCGAAGTACATGACCTAGCCAACTAATTATTTTGGCTTTTATAAGCCCTATTATATCAGGCTCTTTATATAGGGCACACAGCTCTCTATTTTTCCTAATGCACCAAACTCCTTCTTCATAAATTGGGCCGAATATTTGACGAAGTAACTTATTTTCGAACACCATCAAACGTTCTTCATTTCTTTTGGAGAGGACCCATGTTTCACTTCCATACAATAACACTGGCTGTATTATGGTCTTGTATAATCTTAATTTTTCAGCATCTTGATAAAAGTTTGGATGACAAAAGTTTTGTACAGGCCCCAAGGCTCTTATTGGCATTTGCTAGTTTACTTTGTATCTCCAAATCTTCAGAATTTGAACTATTGACGGTAACTCCTAAATATTTAAAGCTCTCCACACAATTAATTGAACAGTTGGCAATGTTGAAATTTACATCTCTATTGTTAGCGTTTCGGCCGAAGTAATCAATTTTAGTTTTTTCTTCGTTTAGCTCTAATCCTACCTTCTTACATTCTTTAATGAAGTTTTCAGCTAATAGGCAAAGGTTTCCAGAGTCTTCTGCTAAAAATTTAATCAAGCAAATCCCTAATCCCACTTACCTGGGTTAGGTGACATTGTCGCAGTCACCCCACACCTGACACCAGTTGTCACAGGTCGACACCTTCTCTTGTGGTCTTCTAGCCTGTGGGAGCAGGAAGAACACGCGAGTAGGGATCAACTAAATTAATTAATTATCAAACGGTGAAACTTTACATAATTACAATCGCTTACAATGATACAAGAAAAGAAACAACTAACATTATGTAATCGCGACTGACAGAATATTAAATGATTTTAACACTGAATTTAAAACGTACACGGACTTGAAAGAAAGGAGTAAGAAAAGAAAGAGGGAGACCGCGCGCGGCGTACCTTACCGTCGTCCGTTACATCTTGGCGCGATCTGCGGCATCGGCATTGTCAGAACGGGAGCATCAGCATGGTCACATGACCATCATCAACCAATCAGCGCACGCTGAGCGCTCAACCCATGATTCAATGCAACAATAGTTGCTCGACTGTTGCTGCGCTCTAACGATTACAACAGGCGTTAATGAAACTAATTGAAGCGAGAAACAAAGCTAGAATTGTTTATCGCGACCCACGTGCGCTGCAAAGTCAGCACATTCCAGGGTATATCCGGCCAAGCCATGACGTCTGGTTAGGATTATTGTAAGGTTACAGAGTAATGAAATGAATTGGAGTATGAGTTATAAGGTTCACTTGGAGATTTATTTGAAGTTAAGCAAAATACATTATTGCTAGATAGGGTTGATACATCAACCTAGCAAATATTCGGTGATAGCCAAGGGCCAGGATTAGGGAGTAATGCCAATCAGCTTAAGCTCAAAGTTAACAAATTACAACAAAATGAGGCAGATATGCCAGGCCGTCACAAAATTACCACATCATCTGCAAATGCCAATATATTTAAGTCTACTCTCAGTTTTATGCCTCCTCGAAGGTTTTTGTCTTTTCTAAAGGCTTCTTCTATAGCTATCCTCAAGAGTGTTGGAGAAATTCCATTTCCTTGTCTTACCCCTGTGTTTATGTGGAAACTTTCAGATATTTCTCCATCTATTTTTATTTTTGCTTTGGACTCATTTATGCATAGTCTTGTTAATCTTAACAACTTTTCTGGTATACCATGCTTTTCCATGTTCTTAAAGAGTAATTTTCT